GTATAAGGCAGTGACTGTCTTATTCTTGAATTTTAGGAATGTAACTGAAATTTTTATCTAAGTATCTAAAGTATGAGCTGAGGAAAGGATTATTTCTATGAAAATATTGGAAGCTAGGTCATGCCCCATTTTATTCTTCCGGCTGTGTATTTAAACACTGGCTTTTAACCCTTTCAGACTCCTCAAATTGGAGATGTTCTTACTAATTATATTAGGAAGCATTTAGCTTTATTATTGTTAATGATAAAGCTACTTTTTGATATCTTGGTTTCTTTGACTTTCTTAAATGTTCTATAGGTGTGTGGAGCAGCATGAAATCCTTCTTTCTTTACAACACACCAAAAATACATCAGACAAACCTAGTACAAGAGGCTTAATTAGTCCGTAGAATAAATAAAAGAATTCCGGCATAGTTGGAAAATAAATGATGCAGCAGAGAAATCTAACTGTGAGAAAGAAATATTGATACCTTCTTTTCTGTGATATCAAGAATATATAATCCTTCCTTAAGAGTGAATTATTATAATTTTGAACAGTATGATTTCATAAAGTGTTTGTGTTGAATTTCACCTTTCTCTTTATCCATGCAGAAGGTGAAAATAATTTTAAATGTCCTTGGGTGGAAGCTAACATATTATATTTTTCACCTAGGGAATTATCAGTAAATATTATGAAGTATGTTGCATTGTAATAAAGTAATTGCTCTATATTTGCATTGGAAATATAAGTGCAACTTTTTGTTCCCATAAAGAGCAAATGGCTTGTATGCTTTATATTTGCATTGGAAATATAAGTGCAACTTTTTGTTCCCATAAAGAGCAAATGGCTTGTATATGTTCCTCATTTGTTCTAAAAGAAGTCATTTGTCTAAGAGAGAGGATCATTGGCAAACCAGCTGGCTGTTCATTTTGGATTTTGACATTGCTTCTCCTTTGGACCCAAATGATGGGCTCTCCGATAACCAGTGCAAACTCCATGAATATCTTTCATTTCTCTAGAAGGAGGTGTGGATTTGCAAGGCTACCAGCTGGATATGCAAATACTACCTGACGGCCCAAAGAGTGATGCGGACTTTTCAGAGATTCTTAATGCAATACAAGAAAGTAAGTTTCACTCAAACTTTAAATTCACCATGAGAGGAGAAACTATTACAATACTTGGGTAATAAAACTAGAAACCTTAAATGCCAAACTTTAAAAAGTAATAATAAAATGATGCCTTAAAGGAGATATTGTACAAAATAATTTTGAGACTAGAAGAGGTGGTTAGTGTAATGGGGATTTAATTTGTGAAATTGAACCACATAATATTGGGATGTTTGAAGAAGCCTGTAATGGAATTATAAATTATGTATATCTAGTATATTATAGTATTTAGTAAACCTCAGAGTATTGTAATTTTTTAGATTCCTTGACTAATCCTAATCAAAGAAAAATCTTTAAGAGACCAAAATACTATTCATCTGCTCAAATATAAGCAGTGAGAAGTAAATGTTGATACAGTAAGCTGAAATTGGGAACTCATTAGTGATGGTCTATGTCCCAGAAGTGAACCCCTATTTTCTTAGCATTTTTAGTAATCACGGTTTGCTCTTCTTAGACTATTTTATTTATGTTTTATAGTTTTCACTCTGAATTTTATCATAATAAACACATTTTACCAAGTTATAGATTTAGCGTTGAAGATGGGTGGTGTGGTATCACGTACTAAGTCATTAACACTCATGTTTCATTATCAGAGCTTTAATCCAAGGTGATGATACTTCTCTTTTCATGTCAAATAGCATTATATAATGTTGCATTTGAGGGGGTTAGATATGAAGAGCTTTGCATGTTTCTCTACTTTTAGTTTGGGGACAGTTCATTTATGTACAAATTCTCTCATGACTAATTTTAAGCATTTTTTTTAGTAGTTATCTCCATTTACTATCCTCTTGACATTATGAAGTAAGGTGTCTCCACTTATAGGTGGGATAAAAGAAGGTGGGAGAAATTAAGTGACAAGATAACATGATAAATAACGGAGAGAAGACTAGAATGGAGGTTGTCCTGTCCTTCATTTAATTCCTTCATGAATGTGCTC